GAAGGGATACCTCGGGATGTGGAATGTATGATCAAGCGAATTGTTATCATTAATATAAAAAATATTCTCGTATCCAATCTAATTTTAATTAAATAATATTCGTATTAATTATTTTTTTAATTAATTAAAAAAAAATAAAAAAAAATGCAAAGTATAGGTGCAGGATGAATTAGCACCCCTTTACAATTCGCCTTCTAAAATGTTATACATCAGTTCAATTGGCTTGAGGTTTTGCACATGCAATTTTTTGTTCGAAACGGATGTATTTTAAAAAATATAGGAAAAATATGGTATTTTGATATTATTGTTTGAAAACATAATTATTTAAAAAAATCTTATTAATAATGATATTTTTATAAAATAATAAATAATTTATCTTTTCTCTATAAAATTAAAAAAAAAAAAAAAAACTAAGATAAAAGAGGACTTGCTTGAACACAAAGCAAAATTCGTATAAAAAATATAGTATAGATTTATAACCAAAAAAATATGGCTTCCATTGCGGTTAACCATTTCTCTAACCTCTTTTGTTTTGTAGGTACTACTCAAGACATCACTTTTATGGATGAAGTTATCCCTTCGTTGGTTATCACTTCCATGAACAATATTTTGACCATCATCCCTTATAAAGAGGAAATCTACAATGTTGTTCATAATCTCAGCAAGCATAGTGCCCCGGGTCCTGATGGTTTTGGTGGAATATTCTACCACTTTTATTGGAACATCATTTAAGAAGACGTTTGTGCGGCTGTTATTCAATTCTTCAAGCATGGCTGGATTCTTCCTAAGTATAATGTTAGCACTATTATCCTTATCCCTAAATCTCCGGATACGTAATTGATAGACAACTTTAGGCCAATTTCCCTCTCCAACTTCAAGTTCAAGATCATAACTAAGATTATTGTGGTTAGGTTGTTCGCTTTAATGCCTTTTCTAGTATCTAAAGAATAACGGGATTTCATACATGAAAGGAATATTAGGGACTGCATTTGTCTTGCTTCGAAAGCCATCAATGTTTTGGATAATAAAAGTAGGTTTGGGAACATTGCTTTGAAAGTGGATATCTCAAAATCCTTTGATACTATGAGTTGGGATTTCATTCTGAAGGTGCTTAGTAGCTTTAGAATTTTGGAGTTATTTCTATGGCTTCCAGGTGTTATCTTTGTCGTGATGAACCTGAATCTTACCATCATTTGCTCTTTGACTGCAACTTCTCTAAAGGCCTTTTGAGGTGGCTCGTGAAAAAGTTACAAATTTCTACTAACACTAATTCAATCGGAAGTTGGCTGGATATTAGTTACCGAAACAAATCCCTTCAGACTGCATTAGTTCTTTCAACTGTTGTCATCAACACTCTATCCTAGATTTGGCGTAATAGAAATAACTCCAAGCATAACTTACACATGATCACTCCTGCTATGGTTATTGAGAGATTCATGTATCAGGTCCAGATGTCAGGAAATTCAACTTCCAAATCTGCCCAAATTAATATGATGGATTTCTATTTCCTTAAGGCTTTCAAAGTACATTCAACCCCCCAAAGTCCCCAATATCAAAGAAGTTATTTGGGCCCCTCCTACTCAAGGCTGGTACAAATGCAACTATGACGACGCTTTCATCCATGGTAACTCCAAAGCTGGTGGTGGTGGTATATTTAGAAATCATAAGGGCGATTTCTTATTGGCTTTTGCAGAAATTTGGATAGTGTCTCCTCTATTCACGTGGAATTCGGAGCATTGATCAAGGCTTTAGAGATTAGTATCGATAGGGGTTGGCTTAAGCTTTGGGTGGAAACTGACTCTAACTTGGTTGTCAAAGCTTTTTCCAATCACAAATTAGTTTCTTTAATCTTAAAAAAACATATGGCACTTTTGCCTTTTTCAAAATAGATTTTCTCACATTGTCATCACTCACATTTATAAAGAAGGTAATTCTTGTGTCGATTTTTTTGTGAATTCCGCGCTCGGTATTAGTTCTACCTTTATTTTTAATTTCATTCCTCCTGACATTAGGGTTGCGTTTGTTTCAAGGATTAAAATTTTAATCATGGGAAAGCTCGACATCAGTTCTACCTTTATTTTTAATTTCATTCCTCCTGACATTAGGGTTGCGTTTGTTTCAAGGATTAAAATTTTAATCCTGGAAAAGTTATTCACGGGAACATTATTACTGAGAACATTATTCTCATCTATATGTCTGGTGAGTAGTTTCATTTCCTAAAAATATTTATAAAATATATTTATTTTAAATTTTAAATTAAATATTAAATGAATTAAAATATTTGATAATGGGAAGTTATAGGTGGTTAATTATTATTCCAATGAAAACAAAGATTCACATCTTATAGCATAAAAATAGAAAATAACAAAACTATGCGTAAAATAAGTTCATGAAAATAAAAAGTTCTTAAGCATAATTTTTTATAACTTGAAACAAACATTGATATAAAAAAATATTTCAATCTGCATTCTTGAAAATAAACTCACAAATCCATAAAACAAATGCCTTCTAAAAATAATTTATAATATATATTAGACATACATTTTTTTAGGTTTTCAGAATCTATAGGTTTTTAGGTTTTCATAATCCTTAGGCTAACTTGTTCTCCCTTTTGTTGCCTTTTTGTTTTGGTATATATCGAAGCTTATATATATATATATGATTTCGGACTCTCTGTACTAAAAACATTTCCGTTTATTTTAAAAGTAATATTAAACAATGCAATAGTGTCAGGAACGAAGAAGAAAAGGACATGCAAGTTTGATATGTAATATTTATTTATTGTGAGGCCAAAAATGCAGCAGCATAATAAATCTGACGGTGGAAGAAAAAACAGAACAAAGCATTACCATGCCAGCTATTATGCAAGCGGTGTAAAGGACAAAGTGACAGTGACGGACAGACAAATAAAAAATTGAATAAAATAACACATACAATACAGAAAAAAAATATACAAAGTGCACAAAACGTTCCGTTCCATTCGCCAGTTTCACCAAATCAAAGCACCCTCCCCTCAGAGTGCCCGCAAACCTAGCTTCACTGCCAACAAAATCCAATACCTTAACTTAGCTTCCCTCGTTGGATTTGTTTGTTTTCATGCCTCTGCCGACTAAAATTAGATACTTCATGTGAATCATGTCTCTTGCCCAATTGCTTCAAATTCCTTTTCACCTTAATTAACTTATTGCAGACGTGGACAGCTAAGCTATCCACCAAAATACGTGTCTTCCACTTCCACCATAGATACAATAAATAAAATTGAGAGTATCTTTCTTTGTTCCCTTTCGAAACATGCCACTTCCCAACGTACACAAATTCAACAGATAAAACACTAATATCACTGATAAGCCAGTGCCTACTACTGCCTTGCCAGAACACCAGCCAGTACACTAAATAAGAAATCAAATTAAAAGCACTTGACTAAGCTTAAACAAATTCAACACAATTGTCACAATTCTAGTACATAATGATTATTACATGACACCTCACTTGTGTACAACATGAATCAACAACCCAGAACTAAGAGCCAGAAGAATCATCTTCATCTAATTATTTTTCAATGCAGAAAATTAATCAAATCAAACAGACTACAGACTAAAGGGTTTGTTTATATGAACAAGAACTCAGAAACAATGACTAAATATAACTATCTGGTTAATAATCTCATTTCATCAACACAAAAATTAACCAAAATAATGAGAATTCAATGAAATCAAAGATTACAGAGTTGAGAAAACCTAGCTTCAGCAGAGAAACATCAACCAATCTTTCTATGATGATTCATGAATGTGTCCATGTCCATGTCCGTGTTCATACAAATCAAACGGTGCCCAAAGAGCATCAAGAGGACAAGGGTTTCTCGAATCAAGTCGAATCCATGGTTTCCCACTCCCAGACCAATGCAGCAAACTCACAGGACCAGCATGCAAATCTCTGCAACTACCCTTCACATTATCACCACCCAAACCATGTTGATTCCACCGGTGTTGAATCCCCGCCACGCGTCCTGCAAAAACCAGCAAAAACGGTGGCAGAGAACCAAGCTCATAGATCCTCTCACTCTTCTGAATCTCCATCCATTTCTCTATCTTCTTCGTGTACCCTTCTTTCCTCCACCGCACCAGATCCATAACCATGACTCCAGTATTAAAGTAACAAACCTTCCTCCCCTCAAACGTCGCCGCAAAAGCGGGCTCCGACCAAAACCCCGCCGTGAAATACTTGGTAAAATTCGCATGACAATACTCCGGTGCCCCAATCGTCTTCACCCCCAAATCCGTACTCCAAAGCTTGGCAACATCATCCACAACAACAAGATCTGAATCCAAATAAATCACTCTCCTCACACAACTCTCCAACAGATCCGCGAGATAATTCCTCGCGTAATTCAACGGTTGCTCCAACGCCTGCCTCACCGAACTCGAAATCAAACCCTTAACAACACTCGGATCGAAGTAATAAACCTTGAACTTCAACTCAGGAAAAGTCGACTGAACCAACGCCTCCAGATTCGTGTCTGTCACAAGGAAGTGAAAGAAAATACTCTCCGGACAAAAAGCGTGACGCAGAATCGAATGAACCGCCGCGATTGAACCGCGAAGGTAATCAATGTCTAGGGTTATCGCAACATGAACCAAACTAGGGTCACAAACACTGATTTTATCTGAAACCAATTCGCATTCATCTGCATTATGGAAAGAAGGTGAATTCCGAAACGAGAATCGGTAGTCGTGAGGGATGTGGTAGGAAGATCGAATTGCTTCCGCGGGAGGATAGGATTGGAGGGAAGGAGAGAGAAAGATTACCAACATTGCGGCGGAGAAAAACCGTGAGAATTTTATAATCCACTGCATTTTTTCAACCACCGCAAAAAAAAAAAAAAAAAAAAAACCTCTCTTCCTCGAGAAACTGAAACGGTGATGATTTATGAGTATATAAGAAAAGAATGAATAGTATAATATGATTTCTAGGATTTCCTTATAGAAGGAAAAGGGAAGTAAATGGAATCTGTGTTTGGAATGAGTGTTAGTGAGAGTAAGGATGGCGTGAGAAGAAAGCGAATTGATGAGTTTAGGGAGAAGAATCCATGGTAGTTTAGTAGGAATTAATTAATTTGGGTAATAATCTAATGTTTGTCTGAAGTAGACGTTTTTGATACAAGTAGTATTGTAACTTAGGACATTGAATTGAATGTCTGTGATATATTGTGGAGTATTAATGATGATAATAAGAGAGATTGGATTGATTGAATAGGAAAGGAGGGGGGAGATGAGGGAGGAGTGATGCGATGCAGTGGCAGGGAGTGGTGCAGAAAGACAGCTTTTCCTTTCCAGCTTTGCAATTGCCTTTTCCACCACTGATCGAGTATCTGAAATGCATTGCACGGTTCTAAACTTATTAGTACTTTCATTATTAATTAATTATCATTTGAAATCATGTACACTAATTTCTAACCTAAACTGAGGTGGCAAAATTAATTCATTATTTATTTTAAATCTGGGTGAATTTGGAAGCAGTTCAAATCTCTTTAATTGAAAAGGAAATAATTAAAATGTATTTTTTTATAAATAAAACTCACAAGACTCTCTAAATATAAAAAGTAAGATTTTGTTAGTGAGTGGCCTCGACTTGGGAAGCTTCATACCTCATTTATCCAATTAATTGTCCTTAGACATGTCTACCTCAAAACACATCAATATTATTTGTCTCAATCTTTTTAAATTTGAATTAGTCATTGATTCAATCAAATTAATGAATCATTAAATTATTAATCAGACTAATAAATTGTCAAATAACATATATAATTTCTAATTTAGTTTATACAAATTAAAAAATATATATTTAGAATAAAAAAATTTCGACATAAATTTTATATTTATACCATCTTTAAAAAAATATTATTGATTTATTCATAACAATGTTAAATATAATTTCAACTTTCAAACCTAACAAATTATTAATAATCATAAATCAACAAAAGTTGAAAAAATATTTATATAATATAATAATACCTTAAACTAATATACAACATAAATAAATATTATATTTTATATAAATAATTAAAAATAAATGATTGGGTAAAAAAAAATTTAGAAATAAAAAATTAGTAAAAATGATTTTACCTTTATTTAAAAATAATAATGTGAATCAGAAGATGTTAACAAAAAGATTTAAAGAAAGAAATAGGACGGCATTACGACAAAGGCAATAGTCAAGGCGGTCTGATGGAAGTTAATCGATAAGGAAGGGTGGGGTCAGTTAATCTAGGGTTTTATAACGGAAGGAGAATGTTCTTGTTTCAGGGAGAGTTTCGAAGGCCGAGGATGATTTACATTCCAATTTTCGACGTCTAATTTCGTTCTACTTTACGAACGTCCCAGAGGCTATCTCGTTTTTCCATGTGAAGAAACAATTTGAGGTGTGTGGCATGTTAGATGATGTGTACTTTGCTTGTAATCGTAACAAATATGGAATAAGATATGGTTTTGCACGGTTTATCAATGTTAAGGATGTTTCAAAGCTTTTGAAGGCTCTGAATAACATATGTTTTGGCCATATGCGGGTTTGGGATAGAGTTGCACAGTTTGATAAGGGTGCGATAGTGAGGAAAGGGAAGGAGCAGTCGGTGTTACGGCTGGGGGGTTGGAGAGCTTTTAAGCATTGTCCTAAGTCAAAGGAGGGATAAGAGGAAGCTAGGGCGCACAAGGGTAATGGAAAGATGGAGTTAGACACAAGACTATACTTTCAGAGAATAAGAATAATGCAGCGAGGCCATTCACTTTTACAGAGATTACGCGTATGAGGGTTCTGAATGTCGCACAGGTTCGCATTGAAGTGAATATTAACAACCATAGACAGTCTTATCGGGCTGAGTTAGCGGATGTTGAGTGGGCAAGACAAATGGTTGTTGCTAATATGGTCAACGGGGAATCCATTATGTTAGTGCAAACGCGAGTTCAAAATGTAGGCTTTGGTGATTTACTCATTTTTCCTATGGGTGCGGATAAGATATTGATTCGAATCATTACTATTTATCATCTTATGAAGGTTCTGCAGGGCGCAGAGGAGTTTTTTCTTTTTTCCTATCGAACTGGGCGTGTTAGAATCGTGATACGGGGGAAATCGAACATGGAGTGTGGGTGCGTACCTACAATATTCCCGTGCATGCATGGGACTGCAACTTTTTCAAACTATGTGTTGTGGATTGGGGAAGGTTTTCACGTGTAGACGAATGTACTATCGATAAGGAGCATTTCAATTATGCTCGCGTTCTTATTGCGACGATGAGTGTCCAAGTGCTTAATATCGTCGATTGTTTGTGTAACGCCCGTTAATTTAATTAATTATTTAATTAAATTATTTTTGGATTATTTGTTGAAGTTGCGAGATGTTGAGAATTATTGATATAAGTTGTTGGATTATTATTAATTAATTAATTAGTTGATTAATAATAATTATAATGTTGGAATTAATGGAATATATAGTGTTGGACTTATGTTATTGGTTGGAAGTAGTAAAGTGGGGGTGTGTAGGTTAGGCCCAATAGGATTGATATATAAGGTTAAGTTGACACAAGGATTTGTTTTAGTTGGAGAATAAGAAGTTTTGTACGTTGACCAGAAGAGTTGCGTGGAAGAGGAGTAAGTTGCCCGGTGTCGAGGAGAGAAAAAGAAGGATTACGGCCGGAGCTTTGGTTGGGCGACCTTCAATCCAGGTAAGGGTGGGGTTATGACCTTATAATGGGATTTATGATGTGTATTATGCGGAAATTGGTCAGTTGTATGAATGTGTGCGTTGATGTTTCTGGAATTGTTATCGAAGTTGCTCATTTCTCTATGTACTGGTCGTTAGGGAGTAACCGTAGGACTGGATCGCATGGTTAAGGAACATGTTATTGAAGTTGGACGTTAGCCGTGTTGTGGAAATTATGAGTGGTCTGTATGATTTCCTGGTTGAATCGATGATTAGATTAGGGTTGTAGTCGTTATGATGTTGTGGTGTTCCGAGCAGTTGGCAGGAAATTAGGAATTGTGGTTGTGGTCGTTATAGGAAGGGTTTAGCATGATTATTTTGTACAATTAACGAATTAGTCAAATAGGAAATATAGTTTCTCGTTACTGTGGTATTCTGAGCAGTTGGTCGGAAATTATGAATTGTATTGATGTGGTCGCCATGTTGTTGTATTGTTCTATGATGTTGTCCAGAATTAATGGTCGGGGAGAATATTGATGGTGTTAGGTGTTGAGCGGAATTTAAGCTGTAAGGTGTGTCGGGGAATATATGTTAGATGTCGAGCGGTACTAGGCTGTAAGGCATGCTGGGGAGCACATTAATGATGTCGATCTGCACGAAGCTGCAAGTTGTGTCAAGGAGCATAAGTAGTTGTTAGTCTTTTGTTTCTGTGCGTGTCGAGGAGTATTGAGTCAATTATTATTCTGTCTTAGCTGTTGTGTATGTCGAGGGGCACGTAGCTCCCTAGTTATATTTCTCGGTCGTGTCGATTTGGTCATTACAGTGTGCTGTATAAGTTGTTCTGAGTTTATAAATTACAGGTTGATGATTTATGTTGAGATGCCTCTGATTATGGGCAGATATTATGTTGTAGGCTTATGGCCAACATTGATTTATGTTGATGTCGAATTATTGTTGAAGTTGTAGGTTTATGGCCAACGTGATTTATCTTAAGTTGTTATTTGTTGTTGTTATTGCTACATTCATGTTGTGTCGCATACATCGCATATCAAGTTGGAGCTGATGCTCGTTAAGTTGTCTTGGATTGGCAAAATATTAAGTTGAAGGCTTATGCCTTATTGATGCCTCTATTTATTGGAAAAATTTTAAGTTGGAAGTTCTGCTCCATTGGTACCACATGCATTTGCATAAAGACAAGTTGTGTTCTGTGTTGCATTCTGAGTCATTGTGTGGTTGATTTGATGATGCTTATGTTGTTATTAACTGCGAAGTGGTGAATATGTATGAACTGATCCTAACATTTTATTTATCATACGTTCTATTATAATGTTTGATATCTCACCCTTTCTGTTTGAATGTTACCCTGATGTTGGTAACGTGCAGGTAATTCATAGTGAAGGGGGTTTACCTTTAATAGTTCGAGTCGGTGTCATTGCTCTGATACGTAACACTCGGGGGGATGAATGCTGCTATTTTATTGTTACTATTCAGTTGTTGCACTGTAAGTTGTTTGAAGTCTTTTTAGTTGGATAAAGATGTTATATTCGTTTAAGTTAAATATTTGATTTCCGCTGCGTAGTTATGAAAGTTGTTTGTTTTAAAAGATTCATTTATGTCGTTGTTGGTTCATCCAAGTTTAATGTGTTATGTATCTGCAATGAATGTCTTTGTTTTAAAGTTGAATTTGTAGCATCCTGATTCGGCTGTCGAATTTTTATAACTGATTTTATATATATTGTCGGGTAGAATTGGGGTGTTACAAAGTTGGTATTAGAGCCAGGTTGGTCCGTCCGACCAAGTTGTCGAGTTGTAATTTGTTTAACAATCGAGTATTGTTAACTTGAGTTCTAACAATTGTTTGTGTTGTAGTGATAAGTTGAGATGGCTGGAAGAAATGATGTTGCACTTGATGCTGATTTAGAAGCAATGGCGCATGCTATGGAGAATCAGCCGAATGCTGACGAGAATGCTGGATCTCGTAGTTTGGAGACCTTCCAGAGGGAGAATCCGCCTACCTTCAAGGGCAAGTACGGTCCTGACGGAGCGTTGGATTGGTTGAAAGAGATTGAGAGGATCTTCCGTGTGATGGACTGCACTCCAACGTAGAAGGTTTGATATGGTACTCATATGCTAGCAGTTGAAGCTGGTGACTGGTGGCTAGAGACGTGTCAGAGGTTGGAAGCTGCAGGTGAAAATGTCACTTGGAGGGAATTTTTGAGGAAGTATTTCCATGAAGACGTTCGTGGTAAGAATAAAATTGAGTTCCTTGAGCTGAATCAAGGAAGTATGTCAGTTGTTGAGTATGCTACAAAGTTTGCGGAGTTCGCTAAGTTTTATTCGCACTATAGTGAAGCTAATGTTGAGTTTTCAAAGTGCATCAAGTTTGAGAATGGGTTGCGCCCAGAGATCAAGAAGGCAGTTGGATACCAGAAGATTTGTGTTTTTGCAGATTTAGTTTATAGTTGCAGGATCTATGAAGAGGATAATATTGCTCATTATAATATTATCAGTGAGAAGAGGGGTAAGCACCAACAGAACTGTGGTAAGCCATATGATGTCCCAGCTGGTAAAGGTAAACATAAAGTTTCTTAGGGTCAGAGAACTAGTGGGGGAGATTCTCCTGCTAGTGTAGTCTATTTCAAATGTGGAAAACCTAGACATAAGAGCAAAGTGTGTACTGCTGAAGTGAAGAGGTGTTTTCCTTGTGGTAAGAGTGGACATGTTGTATCCGAATGCAGGCATAAAGAGATGATTTGTTTCAATTATGGTGAAGAAGGACACATTGGTAATCAGTGTCAGAAATCGAAGAAGGCGCAAACAAGTGGAAAGGTGTTCGCTTTGGCTGAGAATCAGAAGGCTAATGAGGAAAGACTCATCAGAGGTACATGTTTCATTAATAGTACTCCTTTAATTACTATTATTGATACTAGTGCTACTCATTGCTTTATTGCTGCTGATTGTGTTGAAAGTTTGGGTCTTAAGTTGTCTTCTTTGAATGGAGAGATGGTCGTTGACACTCTAGCCAAGGGGTCAGTGACTACTTATTTTGTGTGTTTAAAGTGTCCTTTGTCGATCTTCATCAAAGACTTTGCTGTTGATTTGGTTTGTTTGCCTTTAAGAGTGTTGGATGTGATTTTAGGTATGAATTGGTTAGTGCATAACTATGTTCATATTAACTATTATAACAAGTCTGTGAGGTTTTCTGCTCCCGAGGAAGAGGAAGTTGGTCTATTTTCTGCTAGACAGTTGAAGCAGTTGATGCAGGAAGAAGCTCAGATGTTCTCGTTGATGGCGTCACTATCTGTCGAGAATCAAACTGTAATTGAGGAATTGCAGGTGGCGCATGAATTTCCTGAAGTTTTCCCTGATGAAATTCCTAATGTACCTCCAGAGAGAGAAGTCGAATTTGCTATTGATCATGTACCTGGTACTAGACCTGTTTCTATGGCACCATACAAGATGTCTGCATCTGAATTGTCAGAACTAAAGAAGCAGTTGGAAGAGTTTCTTGAAAAGAAATTTGTAAGACCAAGTGTATCATCGTGGGGAGCTCCAGTGTTGCTAGTAAAGAAGAAAGATGGAAGTATGAGGCTTTGTGTTGATTATAGGCAGTTGAATAAAGTGACCATTAAGAATAAGTATCTACTTCCAAGAATAGATTACTTGATTGATCAATTGGTGGGTGCTCAAGTGTTTAGTAAGATTGATTTGAGGTCGGGTTATCATCAGATTAAAGTGAAGGATGAAGATATCCAGAAGACAGCTTTCAGAATGCGTTATGGACATTACGAGTATTCGATGATTCCTTTCGGTGTTACTAATGCGCCGGGAGTATTTATGGAATACATGAACCATATCTTTCATTCTTATTTGGATCGGTTTGTGGTGATGTTCATTGATGACATTTTAATTTACTCTAAATCAGAAGAAGAGCATACAAAACACTTGAGAATAGTATTACAAGTTTTTAAAGAGAAGAAGTTGTATGCAAAG